GCTAACCTCTGATTGGTCCATTTGTGAGTTTGATAGTATACGTCATCGAACGCTCATCTTGAACTACAATTGCCGTCCAACTCAACTGCAGTTGGATTACAACGTGACGTTAACCACAGAAGCAATGGCGGACAACATCCAACAGCACATTGAAATCAGCCAAGACTTTGATTTTGACATTAAACATAGCTTCTTCATTAAACATAGCACTCTTCATTTAGCTCAGCTATAATATGTTTTTTCTTGGACAAAGTCATTATTTGTTCTCTAAAACACTGGTCGACAATAACAAAATCAATACAAATTCAAAATAAATATTTGTTTACGTTATTAACGCATGCGCAATGAAAGATAAATGTCTGCATATATATATAAATAAAACTAAAGTTGGTGTTGACTTGAAAAAAAGTGTTCATTCACACAACTGTTATATTATGGTTGTTCAAATTTGGAGAGATATTGCGCCACAGCTTTAACAGAGAAACATATTTTACTGTAATTGTAAATTTTAGTACTACTGAACAACAAAAATGGTTGCAGCTACTTTACACCAAGTAGTGTAGATGAAAGTTCTTGCAGATAGAACTAGCCTTGCTTTTTGGTGTAGTGAAAAACCAGGAGCAATAGTTATGGTGTTTCATGTACGCCACTTTAGTGTAAAGTAGTTGCCCCCATTTTTGGTGTTGTTATATTTTAAAATTTTTTCAGTGGGAAGTAATTTTGTGCTTTTGGCAACATTATTCTGAATCTATAGCATTCTGTATTAAAAGGGCAAATAGGAGCAATAAAACAGAAATAAATTAAAATAGTTGAGAATCGCTTTCGTTTAAAAAAAAAAAAAAAAAAAAAAAAAAAAAAAAAAAAAAAAAAAAAAANAAAAAAAAAAAAAAAAAAAGGAACTTATAACCAACAAATGTAATCTATTTTTGAATTCAGGGAAAAAATTTGAGCTTAAAACAAATTTTTAATAAAATTAAAATGTCTACATACTTAGCTGTTCTACGCACACATGACAGCATCCACACTTGGTGGCATTTTTTATCAGTCTGAAACCTTTACTACACTCAGTGTCTCGACATTTAACACTTTTCGAACAGAAATGTTCGTCACAGTCATAACGATACTGAGCAAAAACATCCAAGAAAAGAAATGCAGTTATGCTGCACACGAACAGTATTTTAGGAATAAACATTTCTACATTTTCAAACAACTTTCAAACAACATTCAAATACATCAAATTCTTATCATCTAAGAATAACAAATGATCCCTCCTGGTAGTCCAGCTATCACATTCTAACGTCATAAAAAGCATTTTTTTTTTCATGACAGGTTATCAAAAAATTTAATAGATAATTCGAGATATGCGTATATTTCATATCTATTTTGTCTGTTTTCGCTTTCACTCCTTTGACGTTTTATTTACCTTTGATCTCGGAGTTTAAATGAAATTTGTCAAATTTTTTTTTTAAAGCTTTAGTCACAAATTTCATATTCTTCAAAACTTGTTTTATGGAAATTTATTCTCTAAGCTTGAAAAGCACCTTTGATGCGAATTACTGTTAGGAAATATTTTAGAAAATTAGATTTGCTTTATTTTCTATCGCGAGTTTAAAAGAAAGTTTTTTTTTTTTACCCATTGGCAAAATGGGTCCTGGTATGGGTTTCATGGCGTCCTCACTTTTCAACTACAATGAAATTTGTTATGCATTAAGTGGGTGAGTTTATTTTTGAGATATGGGACCAGAGAGATCCCATAAATACTTCTTTAGTTGTGAATAAAAAGAGAATTTCATCATTTGAACGATATTTTTGTTTTTATTGTTTTAATTAAGAATCAGAAATTGTAACCTACAGTTCAAACTGGATCGTTTTCAATACTAATTCAGGTGAATATCACACTTATCCAAACTGATTGACACAGTCCCAAAAGTTAGAGTTGAAACAAGAAAAAAAAAACGATGCCAAGGCCTAAACTTATCGAGGCTGAAAAAGCAAAAGCCAAAGAACGTAGACGGGAATACCTTAAGTGTCACACACAAACGGAAAAACGAAAGGATTCCGTTCGTAAACGCAAGCATGATGCCCGTCCCTCACAGAAGTACCAAAGTGGTTGAGAGAATTGAACCCTAACTGGTGGATCTCCGAGCCCCTTTCATGCAAATACGAGAACTGGGTGTTGATCACCAGTTAGGGATAAAAATATCCATTGCCAACGTACCCAATAACTTGCACAAGACCGTAGACTGTCACGCAATATAAATGATTCATTCACTATTCATGTAAAATTGAAAAAAAAAGCCTAGCTTTCAAATCATATTTCATGTATGAACTTGTGAATCCGAAACGGGTGTATGATGCAGCTTACAATATCCATCAAACACCATTGTATCCATCCGAAAATGTTAATATTTATCTCGATTGGCTGTTCAATGTCTATTCAGTCATCAAACGAATTTACACAGAATGCGTCTGAGCTGCATTTAAATATGTCTGCGAAATTGTGTACCGAGCAGTTCAGGATTAACAGTTAAGGATGTCCAAGATGAAAACACAATAAAGTTGCTTTTCCGAAAAGAAAAAAAAATAGTGCGTGGAGTCCCTCCGCTCGGAAGAAGTTAAACTTCGTAACCTGCGACGTTAATTGTAGAAGAATCAGCAGTCGTAGAAGGATCACTAGTTCTATTCAACGATTCTTTTTCCTGCTCCGCTCGCTTCCGTGCTCTCTAACAACGGTAATATTGTGCATTTTTCCATTGTGGAGCTCTTGAACCAGTGGAAGTGCTTGTGGTTGCCTCATCGTCTCGCCATGGAAAATGTATTTGTATTAATAACGTAAGTGAATGCGTCATAATGTAATTTCAAAAGAGAAAACCTAACATTCAATTGATATTCACAAGAGACGTACCTTGACATAACCTTAAATCCGTCGCATTATCCGTGGGATTGTTTTCACTCATTTTTTACAATTGTTATCCACTAAATTTGAAAATAAAAAATACTATCCTATTAAATTATATGTGTATCAAATCAAACTTAAAAAGTATTTATAGAAAAACAATACTTTTATGACTTTTATTATTTTTATGCTTGTGAGAACCAAAACAATATGGAAATGAATGAGGGAAAACTGGATCCTACCACGTGATTTCCCAGCCAATAAAAATGTAGCGTTAAACGCTTAAAGCAACCTTGCTGGAAGTCGCATAAGAAGTATAACTTCAACAAAAAAAAAAAAAAAAAAAAAAAAAAAAAAAAAAAAAAAAAAAAAAAAAAAAAATAGACGACAACCATTTTGCAAATGGGTAACCTGTGATCGACGTAAAGGCCTGGTTTCTTAGGATAGGACGCCGTCAGCTGGAGATCAGTTTGATTATATACGTCATCGAACGCTCATCTTGAACTACAATTGCCGTCCAACTCAACTGCGCAGTTGGATTACAACGTGACGTTAATGACAGAAGCAATGGCGGACAACATCCAACAGCTCATTGAAATCAGGCAAGATTTTGATTTTGACATTAAGCATAGCTTCTTCATTAAACATAGCACTCTTCATTTAGCTCAGCTATAATATGTTTTTTCTTGGACAAAGTCATTATTTGTTCTCTAAAACACTGGTCGACAATAACAAAATCAATACAAATTCAAAATAAATATTTGTTTACGTTATTAACGCATGCGCAATGAAAGATAAATGTCTGCGTTGGACCGACTGCTCACGCTGAGCTAACAAAAAAGTATTTTTTTGGCGTCAGCTCTACGTCAACTTTCAGCTGACGCCCAGATAAGGCGCTAGTTCTAAGAAACCAGGCCTTGAGCTTACAAACCAGTATTTTGTTGGCGTCAGCGGGACGTTGACGTCCCGATGACGCAAAGATAAGGGGCTTGTCCTAAGAAACCAGACCTTAAGGCGATCACAATTTTCTTCATTTTGCAGTGAATCGTATTTTTCTAATCTTTTTCTTTTATTATCTTTATTTAAAATTCTGCTGAGTTAGGATTAAACATGCAAAATAGAGTTTTAAAATACATGAGCCGAAAGTGGCTATGCTATACTAGACCAAAACAGCAATTCGTAGTTATGGTAAAAAATAATATGGTATTATAAACTATGACACAAAATACAAAAGAACGTAGTGGGGCCTCCAGGTTGTAGAACCCGTATTTACAAAGTACCTGTATTACATGCTGTTAAATTGACTATTTTCTTGCAATTAATGAGCTAGATTAGTTACATTAATAGTTTTCCTATAATTAACGAGTATTATATGCAATCAAAGTACTGATTCTTCTACCAATTAACGAGTTAGAAGTGCATTTAAACTAACGAACTAGATATGTAATAAAATCAACAATATTCGTAAGATTAACGAGTAATATACGCAACCAAGTCGGAGATCTTCGTATATTTTATCAGCTAAATCTGCAATTAAACTAACGATACTCGCACAATGAACGATCTATGGATATCCGATTGAAGGATTCTTTTTACAATTAACGAGCTAAATTTTCAATTAAACTATCGATCATCGTACAATTAACGATCTATAGCAGTGTTTCCCGAACTTATGAATTTTGTGTACCCTTTCTAAATTTTTCGAAGCGCTGTGTACCCCTAATAAAAAAATGAATGCATTTTTTACTATAAAAAATGCACAAAACTTAAAAATCACAACTGGCTGTTGACACCACTAATTATTGACTGTTAACTCTGCAAAAAATAGCCAATAGAAAAATAGGTAATCGTAGGTAAATTTTCATGACTAGTTTTGTTTTTAAATAAAATTTTTTAAAATTTTCATACGTTGCAAGATATTTCGCATAAGAGCGCGTACCCCCGCTAAACTGTTCCCGTACCCCTGGAGGTACGCGTACCACACTTTGGGAAACACTGATCTATGGATACCGATTAAACTTACAATTTTCTTACAATGAACAAGCTAGATCTGTAATTAAACTCATCGTATAATTAACGATCTAGATATCTGATTAAAGTAACAGCCTTCTTACAATTAACAAGCTATATCTGCAATTAAACTAACAATCATTGCATAATTAACGATCTAGATATACGATTAAAATAGCTATCTTCTTACGATTAATTATCTAGATCTGAAATAAAACTAACAATCATCGATCGTACAAAAAAACTATCTAGATCTGAAATAAAACTAACAATCATCGATCGTACAATCAACTATCTAGATCTGAAATAAAATTAATAATCATCGATCGTACAATCAACTATCTAGATCTGAAATAAAACTAACAATCATCGATCGTACAATCAACTGTCTAGATCTGAAATAAAACTAACAATCATCGATCGTACAATCAACTATCTAGATCTGAAATAAAACTAACAATCATCGATCGTACAAATAACGATCTAAATATCCGATTAAAGTAACAATCTTATTACAAATAACGAACTGAAGACGCAAATTAAAAGTCTCGTACAATGAACGAGGTTCTCTGTGATTATACGATTTCGTCTAACGGAAACAGTAATTAAAATTAAAGATCATATCTTTTACTTAAAATAAATACAACAGAAAGTTATTCCAACAGCAATTTTAGTCCATTAAATCTAATTAAAAGAAGAAAAAAAAGACTGACAGCGGAAAATTCATTTTGCTACTCAAAGTATTTGACTTTTAAGCTTATAAGAAAACTTCGGCTAGATTTTTTTTTCATTCTAGAGACTTCTGCTTTTGTACAACTTAATTCATTTTTTTAAGCATTCTATGCTATGGGAGGAAGATTTATGTGAATATCAATCAGTTCGGGGAATAAAAAAAAAATGCATTAATCCTTCTTTTCAAAATATTCTATTCATTACATATTCTTCCTAAGAAAGGGAAAGGTCAATTTCTGGATTTCATTTCTCTCTAGTATGCGGGAGACGATGTCATCGACCTCTTTTGAATGGGGAGGTACTGGGAATCCACCCCCCACATTCCCTTGCTTTAAATCCCTCATTTGGAATGTATTGTGTGGGTGGATATAGCTCATTGTAATATCTCAGCATCCCTTTATAATGAAGAAGGATTTCGAATATTCAGAGATGCAGAAACAGAAGGAATTTCTTAAGAAGAAAAAAAAAGAAAAAAAATTACTTTCAGAATAAATAAGGGTTTTTAAAAATAAATATTTCCATCAAAGCAAATAAATTAGGTTTTAGGATGATCTTTTCAAACATGTATTTAAATAATCTGCTGTTTTGTGCTATTACGTAAGAATCTCTATTTCCTTTTCATTTTGAAAATCACTCATGGGAAACGTAAAGAATATGAAACAAGGTTTTTTTGTA